ATGGATGGATGGATGGATGGATGGATGGATGGATGGATGGATGGATGCTTTCATCAGTCTGAAGAGTCGGTGCAAACCTGTGCTCGCATGGGGACAAGCACAAAGTCTACGAAATAAATAAACTAAAATGATTGTACACTGTACTCGGGTTTATCCACTCTACTTCTCTCGTCTGATCCCTTTACAGGGGTCACCACAGTGTCATCCTTCCAGTTTGTCCTCTGTCATTCTTCAACTATCCATGTCCTCTCAAACTGCATCCTGATATCTCCTCAGACTTTTTCCTGGCAGATGCATTCCTAACATCCTACCAATATACAGTTGCAACTTTTACTGTAAGTAAAAGTGCAGGGCATCCAGGACTAAATATCTGGAACAACTAGTGTACTCCATGTATATCCAATTGACTAATCAATAGCGTATTTGACAGAATACCATGTTGCTCAGGTGACTATAAAGCTCAAGTCTACTTCCTTAAGAAGGTCCCTCATTAAAGGAACATTTGTCTATGAAATGTTCCCTTCAGTGACACAAAGACAGCTAAAGAAAGACTTGAACTTATTGGCAAGTCTCTCATTGGGACACAGTTAGAAACACAGGATCAATACAGGTCCTTGTTCTTTGCATCTTAAACAACAGCACCACTGTGCTTGGATGGGTGGGCTGAACCCCCCTCAAACAGCGCTGTCGCAATTCTTCTCCTGAAAGGGTCATGAACGCCACTGCCTGCTGCCTTACTCGCTACCCTACTGATGTGATGAAAGACCCCGTTTGCAGTACGGATTTCTTAACACGTTTGAATCCTCAGTTGCAATCAGTCGGATATGCATTCACACCGACAAGAGGTGCAGATCTGAGGCCAGCTATCATCGTCTCATCTCCGGCAGGGAATAGGTAAAACAGCATTCCAGGGGAGAGTTTAAAAAAAGCAGTTAGTTTAACGACTCTGGAGGCTTTTAATTGCAGAGGCTTGGATATTAGTTCAAAACTGCTCACTTCATGCTTGGGAACACAGTGCCACGGTGCCTGCGCCCTCAACCAACACTTGTTTTATCTGCCTGCAGATTGAACTCACTTCACAGTAAAGAGAGGCCAATTAGGGAGCAAAGGGATTAAAAACACCAGGGGGAAAAAAAAGGCCTTTTCCCATTTATGCACTTCTGTGGTAGAGGACAGGCAATTGGATGAAAATACAAGAGAGCTCAGCACTTTGTGATTGTGAAATTAAAGAGAAAAACCAAGGTAAGAGGTAATTTCCTTCCAGTCGTTCACTGAGTGGGGGAAAAAGTCAACCTGGTATTACTTTGAGATATCATTAATCTGTGATGTTCAAAGCATTCAGGTCGTTACTCAGTGATGAGGAACTGGAAGTTTGATTGCTTAACCCATTTCCTATCTTTTAGTTGAAAAACTTGAGGTACTGTGAAGTGAATCGGGAATTTCTACAGCAGACTGGACCTTTGCAGATAAAAAAAAAATTCATGTCTTCATTGGCATAGAAAAAAAGAATGCAAAAATGGGACAAGAGTTAAAGAATGTTTTACTAACTCTGTTGTAC